GAGCAGCTTTCTAACTGGGGAACATTGAGTGAGTGGTTAATTGACTCTAAGATTTCTCCACTATAAATTAGTTGTAATGATACCTGATTTGCAGAGTTTCTATGAAATATAAATAATTTCTTTGCAAAGCTGTGGGCATTTCTTTGCAAAGTCATTCTCACGTCATGGTTACTCACATGGAACATATTATTAATATAGTAAAAACTGTGGTTGACTATTCAGTTTTTATTGGTTTTAAAATACATACTTGATCCACTGCAGTGGAAGAAACAGTTGTTTTCATTATTTGAAATTTGTGCAACAGCACTGTAGATATTACTATTAGAGATGACACATTGCTAACTTCACCTAAGTATTATATTTCTGCTGCTTCTGTACAGGCAGCATTTAGCATGAGGATTATAGCATGGTAGTCTTCTCTGCTTCCTGTGTGTGGAATTTAGTTAGTTGATTCTCATAAACCAGGTTTCAGGGATCCTGCAGCCCCTGGGGGGAAGGTCCAGTGATTAGGAGCTGAGCAGTAATGCCTGTTAGCTTGCCAAGGGTGCAGAAGTAAGGAATATTGGGCACGGAGCACCCAGAAGTCTGGTATACAGTATTAGTCAGTGTTTTCTTGGATTTGAGACAGAGTGTATATTCTTAAGGTTGAAGGTATTGCCTGGAACTTTTTATGCTTTTCATTATCACGGGCAAATTGATTTCAATATTAGCTAAGCTTTTAGAGTTTAGTTAACTTACTTGCAAAATGGGACTATTAACTGTTTTGTTTTAAAAAAGGCCAACAAGAACCAAAGCATAGTTTCTAGCTCTACACAGGGTAAGATTGCTCCACTTGCTTACAAGATCGGCGTGTGTTTGCTTGGGTGTCTTGGGTGTATGCATGTGCATGTGTGGGTATTGTGTGTGTGTGTGTGTGTGTGTGTGTGTGTGTGTGTGTTTTGGGGGGAATGGTAACTCATAATGTGCTGCAGCATCCAAGCTCATGAGTGTGCAAATTGTGGGGAGATCTAAATTATGATGTCTTTTTTCTCCTGCCTCAGTGGTAACTTCTCAATAGTCTGCCTTTCTTCATGAATGGACAAAGAAAGAAGAGCTGCTGAGTTACAGAAAAACATGACACAGGTAGGTAAGAGCTAATAATTCTCCAAAAGAATATTCCCATTTCACCAGCTCATCGGTCTGATTGTTAGAGCAGGGATTAGCAACCTGTTTCTTTGTTGGGCCACATAGTATGTTAGGCTTTGAAGGCCTGAGTTTCTGTTGGAACTCAACTCTGTCACTGTAGTGTGATAGCAGCCATAGACATCATATAAACATGTTTGATTGTGTTCCAGTAAAACTTTACTTACACAAACAGGTGGTAGACTGGATTTAGCAGTGGCCTAGAGTCTAAGAAAATATGGCCACCTGGGGGCCTGGGTTGAAAAGTTGTGCTTTCTGCAGGCTTCTGGGCCTCTCAGGTTTATGAAAAAAAGGAGAGCTCCTTTTCTCTCAGTGCATTTTTAAAATTTTTTAAAATATATTTTTATTAATTTCAGAGAG